TGACCACAAAATCCCTGAGAAAAATCCCTAGATATTTGGAAACAAAATAGAACAGTATTATATAACCCATGGATCACAGAAGTAATCACAGGGGAAAATAGGAAGCATTTGAACTGCATGAAAAGAAAAACATAATATTTATGGGATGCAGTGAAATCCTTCCTTAGAGTGTAATATAAAGCACTGAACACCCACATTAGAAAAGAAAAAAAGAGTCTTAAATCACAGCTTCAATCTTAAGAAACCAGACAAAGAAGAGCTAGTAAATCCCATTGTAACAAGAAGAAAGAAAATAATGAAAGAGCAGAGCAGAAATCAATGGAATATAAAATAAATAAAACTGATATGGAAAAATCAGTGACACCAAATGTAGTTTTTTTTTGTTTTTTGTTTTTTGGTTTTTCATTTTTGAGATCAACAACATTGGCATATTACTAATCAGTTGCATCAGGTAAAGCAGAAAATACAAATTAACACATCAGAAATTAGAACTGTAAGATACATCACTACTGATTTAAAGGACAATAAGGAAATATTATGAATAGCATTATGACAATACATTTGACAAAATTTATTGAATAAAAATTGAAAAATTCCTTGAAAGATGAAAACTACCAAATCCACTTACTCAAGCAGAGAGAAAGCCTGCACAGGCTTGTAAATAGAAAAAGGTTGTATTGTAATTTAAACATTTTTCATAAGAAAATTCCAACTCCAAATGGCTTCACTGATAAATCTCTAAAAAATCTGAGAAGAAATACTTTCAATACTATACAAATTCTTCCAGGCTATTACAGAGGAAATAATATTCCCTAATTAATTTTATGAGACCAGCATTACTCTGAGAGCAAAATCAGAACAAGTCATTATAAGAATACACTATAGGCCAGTGTCTTCCCTTGTGAGAACACAAAGATAAAAAGAAAAAAAAAGAAAGAAAGAAAGAAAGAAAGAAAGAAAGAAAGAAAGAAGAAAGAAAGAAAGAAAGAAAGAAAGAAAGAAAGAAAGAAAGAAAGAAAGAAAGAAGAAAGAAAGAAAGAGAAAGTCAAAGCCAACAGTATACAAAAAGGCTGATACATCATGATGTCTAAATTAATGTATCCCAAAATGCAAGAAAATCAATTACTGTGATTAATTATATTAATAACTAAAGTAGAACACATCATCTCAACAGATCTAGAAAAAGCTTTGACAAAATCTACGTCCATTTCTGGTAAGACCTTACAACAAAGCAAAAATAGAAGGGCATTTCCTCAACCTGAAAAAAGTAATCTATGAAAACCTACAGCTAATATCACATAATGATGAAAACCAGAGTGCTTTCCACCAAAGATTATGAATGAAACAAGAATGAGGGCACCTGGCTGGCTCAGTTGGGCGAGCATGTGGCTCTTAACCTTGAGATCCTGAGTTTGAACTCCACGGTGGAGATATGGATTACTAAAAATAAGTAAAGCTTTTTTTTTTTAAATAAAGCTAGAATGTCTCATGTCTCCCACTTGTATCCAACCTCTTGTATTCAACCTAATATAGGTACTAGCTCATCCCTTCAGGCAAGGGAAAGAAATAACATACGTTCACATTGGAAAGAAATACATAAAACCGTCTTTATTTGTAGTTCTCAGGATCATCTAGATAGAGAGTCCTCTAAAGTGTACTAAAGAGTTACAGAACTGGCTGTGACAGTTTTGTATATACATACATATGCATGTACACATATATCCTCATGAATGGCAAAAACATTCACATCATTTGTATTTAGTCTTATAGGAAGTCTAATCTTCCCAATCATATTCCCTTATATTATTTGATTGCCATGAACTTGGAGACATGTAAACAATATAGAGAATCTCCAGGAAAATAAGATATTTGAAAGTCTGAAAGTCTCATCTAAGATAAGATACCTAATCTCTTCCTTGGCTTTCCCCAAGACACATCAACACAACCTTAGGACCTAATGTTTATCCTGGAGTTAAGCCTCTTCTTCAGAAATAAGGCTGCTCTAAGAATGAGCTAGAGCAAATGCCAGCACATTCACCTAAGGTGTTCATAAAAAGTTTTATTATTGCCCTTATGCTAAGTAGATACTGGCCTTGAATGATTCCAAATTCCTTGTGAACTTTTAGAGATTAAGAAGTTTCTCTAACTCTCTTTACTATAGGATGTCATGTGAACAATTTGGCATCACCTGACAGCATTTATTTTGCTATGTTTTGAAAGAGAGCTCTGCCAAATGGATCAGAGAAGTTTCTAGATTCCTGAGAATACTTTCAGGGATGACAGAGTACTGGACGGGCAATCTCCCTCGTATACAAAGTGCATTGGAATAATATCTGCTGAGCACCTGGGTGCCAGGCACTATTTTAGTCACTGAGGAGACAGAGATGAAGAAGACACACTCTTGCACAGGAGAGCACGAGAAGTCTAATGGAAGGATGTGTACAGTTTTTTGGAAGTGAGGCAGGGAGAATTATTTTTTCCTGAGGGAGGAGAAAATGGAGAAAGTCTTTTTTGAGATAAGAAAGGATTATATGGGGGGGGACCCTCTATGGATTCTAGCAAGAATTATGTAACCTTCAAAGAGAGAGAGAGAGAGAGAGAGAGAGAGAGAGAGAGAGAATGTATAAATTTCATTTATTTGCTTCATTTTCAAGTGATAAAATTCCTGAATGCCTTCAACTGACTGCTGTTTTCTAAGATAGTGGAAGTCAGCACCCATCTTTATTAGACCACCCTGCCATGAGGACACATCACACCCACTGGGAGGGCCACGATTACTGGAAGCCAGCCATGCTCCAGAGAACTTCCTTGAGCCAAATGAAGGAAGCCCGTGACAGGCAGGCAGGGGGAGTGGCTACGAAAGGTGGACCAGCTGGTTGGTGCGATTTGTGGCCCCAAATTCCCTGTGGGTTCAGACTGAAGCTCATCACCTGTCAAAACCAGCTTGCATCTTAATTTTTCACTCTGGCCCTACCCTCCTTCCTCCATTCTCCTTCTCCAAAGTGCACATTTCATGCACACACAAATCACCTGAAGAAGAATCCTCTTCATCTCCTCTGCTTCACAGAAACTTGAACTAAAACATACAACAGCAGCACCTAAACTACACTCAAACTTTGTATCTTTTACCTGTAAAGAATACAACTTTATACTTTAAACAGAACAGACATTGCTAGGAAATAAAAAAATAAATACATAAAAAACATAAATATATATGTTAATATATATATATATACACACACACATGCCAACTTCATGACAACCAGCAATTTTATTTTCTCTAGTCTTCAAAATTACTATTGCTAATTGTCTCTCTCACTCACATGTGGAATTTAAGAAACAAAACACAAAAAAGAGACAAAAAAACAAACTCTTGAATACAGAGAATGCTGGTTACCAGAAAGAAGAGGGCGATGAGGAGTGAAATAGAAGGGGATTAAGAGTACACTAATCTTGATGTGCAGTGAGAAATATACAACCGTTGAACCATTATATCACACACTTGAAACTAATACATCAATAAAAAATAAAATTAAGGGGATCCCTGGGTGGCGCAGTGGTTTGGCGCCTGCCTTTGGTCCAGGGCGCGATCCTGGAGACCCGGGATCGAGTCCCACATCGGGCTCCCGGTGCATGGAGCCTGCTTCTCCCTCTGCCTGTGTCTCTGCCTCTCTCTCTCAATCTGTGACTATCATAAATAAAAAATAAATAAATAAATAAATTAATTAATTAATTAATTAATTAAATTTTTAAAAATGACCATTGCTACTCCAATTACACTGAGAAATATTCCTTCTTTGTTGGTATAAATTATATTTTTCATTTGTTGTTGTCTTTTAAATTTTATTTATTTGAGAGAGAAAGAGAGAGAGACCAGGAGGTGCAGAGGTAGAGGAGAGAATCTCATGCAGGCTCTGTGCTGAGCGTGGGACCTGACCTGGGGCTTGATCTCATGACCCCAAAACCAAGAGTCAGGCGCTTTGCCTACTGCACCTCCCAGGCTCCCCTATAACTACATTTTCAGTTTCAGCTCACTTAACTAGCCAAAACTCTCTACACATATCTTTGTTGTTTTCCTTCTAAAAATGATGAGATTTTAAGGGAGGAAAACTCTTCCTTACTCTTTATTTTAAACTTACTCCCAGTATGAGTCTCCATCTTGTAAGTTGGCAAATGCTGTTTCTTGGACTAATGGAAAAGAATTCAAAAATCTAAAGAAATTATTATATATATAAATGATAGCATAATAATGGACTATTTTAATCACCACTACATTAATAATGCCACAACTAGAAAGAAGTCTCTAGCTCATCACAATCCCAGTAAAATGAATAATAACATTTTCTGAAATAAATTGCATTGACTGCCACTTACATTTATTACTCTAAAAGTTTAATTAAACAATTATGGGACTATAGGTAAAGTTTTGCCCCATCTATTTTTGTAAACATCAATAAAAATGCATTAGAAAATGGGAAGGCAATGTCCCATTCCAATCATATACATTTTGGGTTAAAATTTTAATACCAATTAATATAGTGAAAGGCATCTATTCTACCCCTGTGGAAATTTTCAACACAACATGTTTTAGAGTTTTACAGATAATTTAGCTGCATAACTAAGAAGTTGTATCTTTAATTCAAAAGGACATAACAGGGATGCCTGGGTGAGAGTGGTTAAATATCTGCCTGTAGCCCAGGACATGATCCTGGAGTCCTGGGATCGAGTCCCATCTTGGGCTCCCTGCATCGAGCCTGCTTCTCCCTCTGCCTGTGTCTCTGCCTCTCTCTCTCTGTGTCTCTCATGAATAAATACAATCTTAAAAAAAAGACATAACAATTAAGAACAAATTGAAAGTATACATAATGTATATTATATATAGCATATATGTGTATATAATGTGTTAGAAAATATTATAAAATTTATGTTAAAAATTATATACGTTATTATACATACATTAGAAAATCACACACTTTTCAAATAACCCATATATTTCCTACCTGAAGTCAGAACCTGCTCTTCTACCATTTTCTGGAATCCCAGGATCTGGACACATGTCAGAAACCAATGCAACACCGCCTTGACTCACTATAATAGACAGAAAAATTCTTGTCATTTTGTGTCGCTGTTGGGGAAATCCTCAGAGAATAAATTTGTTAGGCAGACTTGGTTCTTAAATTATAATGACTCAAAATGTGATTTATTTAGAATAAGATACTTTAGATTTATTAAAATGGATCTTTATTCTTATGTCTGAAAAAAAGACATTTTATTTTAGTGAAAGGATGCCAACATTCTTTACTTTGAACCCTTCTTCTATTCAAATGGTCAAAATTTAATTTTAAAAATGTTTGTGCTCATTACAGGCAACTTTATGACAGGTTACAACTAATAGCATCATGAGACGATGTCAAAGTTTATACAGAAGAAAACCTTCATCCGCCATCCGTGGATGAAGTGAAGCAACAGTTTATCTGTTAATACCTATACAAAAGATACTTTAAATAAAACTACCAACTTATGTTTTCAACATTGAACATGTTTATCATCGAACTAAAAAAAAATGTACTGTTCTTTTATAGACATGCTGCTTTTTTCCTGAATCTGTTCCACGAAGAGCCCTACCTCTTTTTGGGATGTTGTACAATCACAGTGTAACAGTGATTTTAAAGGGCTCACTTGTTCATCGGATAGAGTAGCTAACACTCAAACACCCATCCGCCACTATTTACGCTGTCTAATGCAACCAAGGCAATCAATTTCTTCTTTCTTTTCAGAAACTTGCTCAACCTTGGGCTTGTTACCAAATTCCCTTCAGTGAGACATGAGCAGAAGGCTGTAACCATCCCACTGGGAAGACATTCCAGTGAGCCAGTAGAGACCATATCTATCTTCTTTTACTTGGACCTTACGATGTCTGATTTCAAATGTGGAAGTTTTGGTACCATTTTGCAACAGTCCAAGGATGGGAGTAATAGTATGGATGGGATAGAAGGCATATCACAAAAACCAAGACCTTTGATGTCACAATTGAGGCAGAAAATTTACCAATTCATGAACCTACTTTATCTCAACATGTTGTTGGATAATTCATGTTTCCTATAGCTTAAATCCATTTGAATATATGACTGTATTATCTGCTTATGTATATGCAGATTATATATATGTACATATCTGTAATACTTACATAATACCTATATATGTATATACATAAATATATACATATATATGTCTATATATTTCACCACATATATTTTAAATGATTCCACAAGAAAAAGTATATTATCTGGCTAAATATTGAAATCCCTAAGCATTTTATTAAACTATGCATTAAAATATGACAATACTTACAGCAAGACTCAGTTTTCATTGCTGAGTTAGGATGAAACTGAGATATGGACAAAATCCCACATTAGCTACAGATCTTTCTAGAATAAATTTATTCTTAGGAAGAACTTCATTATTCCAAGTTAGTTCATCTCCATTTCTTACAGGTTTTAGTTGAGATTTTTATATCATCCAAGAACTTTTTTGCAGTATGGCGTGAGAAATGGATTCAACTCTACAATTCTTTTTTCTAAATATTGGTTTTTCCCATGATTATTTAAAAACAATCCAGCACATAAGGCAGCAACATCAGTAAGATGATGAAAGAGAAAGTTCCAGGCCCTCATTCCTCCATGAAAATACCAAATAAAAACTACAGATAGAATAAGATAACTTTTTAAGAGCTCTGGAAACCAGTCTGAGGTTAATAGCAGCCAAGTGAAAGTTCAATGAAGAAAGAGCCACATTCATAATGGCAGAAGAGTTCATGAAAGTTTAACTTACCCTTACCCCATACCTTCCCTGACATGGCATGGTGACCTCATTCCTGGTCCCCTTGCTGAGGATGAAGAAGCAAAGAGAAACTTGTTTGCAATATTCCGACCTATGGGCTGCATGAGAGACAGATTTTTTTTTTTTAGTTGTTGTTGTTGTTGTTTTTCTTGCCTGCCTCGAAACTTGTCCGTGGAATGGCTGCCAGAAGCCAAGGAAAGCACTGGCAGACTGCTGCATTTAGAAAGTGCAGAGATTGCAGCCATGCAGGCCCCTGGGGCCAAGGAATTATAGAAAGAAGAATATTACAAACCATCTAAGATCCTGAGAGGCTGGAGTGAGACTTGTTGGGGAAGTAAGATATTCTAAAGCAGCTGGATGGGGGGCTAACACACAGAGACCCAGACAGGACACATTCCCAGAGAAGACTCTATGGCTTCATGAGAGGCTAACAGTATGGCTCAGAGGACCCCTAATTTGTAAAGGGCTTCCACAGCATTCTGCAAAAAACTGGGAAAGGTAACTATGTCTTCCAAATGCAGTTTTTCACAATATCACAAGGCATTAAAATTTTTGAAAAATGTACACAATTCAAAGGGATAAGATTAATCTCCAGAAATAGTCCTTGAAGAAACACATGTATCAGACTTACTAGACAAACTGTAAAACTGTCTTAAATATGAATTTGAATAATTGAACATTTCTCAAATTTGAGGAAAGATATAAATATACAAATCCAAGTTGATAAATTCCAAGTAGGATAAACTCAAAGCAACTCAGAATGAGACACAGAAACTGTCAAAAGACCAAGACATAGAAAGCATCTTGAAAGCAGAAAGAAAAAAAGCATCTCATAGCAAACAAGAGATCTCCAATAAAACCATCAGGTTTTTATTGAGAAACCAGGTTTCTCAGCAGAAAACTTGTAGGACAGAAGACAATAAGGGGAAATATTAAAGTGCTGAATGAAAAAAAAATGCTATTTACAGAGAACTCTATATCCAGCAATACTTTCTCCAAAAATGAAGGAAAAACTAACAAAATTAAAAAAAATAAAATAAAAAATAAAAATAAATAAAAAAGAGAAAAAGAAAAAAAGAAAAAGAAAAGAAAAACTAAGACATTACCAGACCCCCCCCCCAAAATAGAATTCATTACTTATATACCTGCCCTATAAGAAATGTTAAAGATAGACCTTCAACTGAAATGAAAGGACACTAGACAATAACTCAAAATAATATGAAAGCACAAAGTTCTCTTTTAAAGGTATAGAGAGAAATATTCTAAAAACCCACTATTTTGTCATTTTGATTCACGAGTCTATTTTTTTAAATTAAAATCCTCTACATGACTTAAAAGACAAATGCATGAAAATATATATATATATATATATATATATATATATATATATATATATAAAGCACTAGTAGGTATACAATACATACAGATGTAATCTGTGACATCAGTAGCACAAAGTGGTGGTGTAGGAACTGTGAAAGAATACAGCCATGTATGTGACTGAAGTTAAGTTGGTATCAGTTTAAGATTGTTGTAACTTTAGGATCTCATGAAATCTTCAGGGGATCCATAAAGAAGATACTATAGAATATGTGTGAAAGGAAGTGAAATGAGAACACTCATAAGTCATCAGACAAATCAACTCAACACAAAGGAAGATGGTAATGGGAGAGAAATACTAGAAGGCCTACAGGAAACAAATAAATGTGGTAAAAATAAGGGCCTTCCCCTCAGTACTCCCTTTAAATGTAAAAGGAATCAATTCCACCTATGTGCCAAATTGTGTCCTCTCAAAATTCACATGTGGAAGCCCTAAACCCCGTCCCTCAGAATGTGGCTGTATCTGGCGATATGCTTTTTAAACAAATGATTACATTAGAATGAAGTCATTGGGGTGTGTCTATTCCAATATGAGCGATGCCCTTGTAAGTGGAGTAGGACACAGATACACAGAGGGAAGACCCTGTGAAGACACAGGGAGAAGACAGCCATCTACAGGGCAAGGAGACAATCTGTAGCAGAACCTCCCTGCCTCCAGAATTGTGAGGAGATAAATTTCTGTTGGTTAAGTCACTCAATTTGTGGGGCTTTGTTGTGGCAGCTCTAGCAGACTAATGTATCCCCCAATCAAATGACATACGTTGAAAAAATTGATAAACAACAACAAACCAGGATACGACTATCTGCTGTCTACATACCTGAAGACACACAGAGGCTGAGAGTGAAGAGTGATCAAACTCACAGAGCCAGAAGGTAGAATGGTGGTCTCCCAAAGCATGGGGAGAAAGGCCTGGGAAATTATCATTTAACATGTACAGAGTTTTGGTAGGAAGATACAGTTTTTCTGGAGATGGATGGTGGTGACAGATGGGTGAGGATGCCAATGTACTTAAAGCCATAAAACCATATACAAAAAAATTACTTAAAATGGTAAACTTTATGTATATTTTTAAAAGATTTTTTTTGTTTGCTTGAGAGAGAGAGAGAATGCACACAAGTAGGCAGAGCAGCAAGCAGAGGGAGAGGGAGAAGCAGGCTACTCACTGAGGAGGAAGCCCAATACGGGGCTTGATCCCAGGATCCTGAGCTGAAGGCATATGCTTCACCAAATGAGCCACCCAGGTGCCCAATGTTATCTATATTTTACCACTGTGGTCTGTGCATATGTGTGTATCCCAACAAGTTATAGATCTCTGACCATTCAGCAAATCAACTTCTATCACTCCCAAAATTCTAGAGCAGTCCCCCTTATCCACATTTTCACTCTCTGTGGTTTTTCAGTTATCTGAGGTCAACCAGGGTCCAAAAGCAGATGATCTATAGTCTAAAGCTATGCCATAGCACCTGTGACATTCACCTTCCTTCCTCTCATCAGCAGGCATCTGGTCATCCCACATCATCACCAAAAGAGGATGGGTGAGTACAGGACAATACGGTAGTTTGAGAGAGAGAGAGAGAGAGAGAGAGAGAGAGACCGTATCCCCATAGCTTTCATTACAGTATAGGGTTATAATTGTTCTATTGTATTAGTAGTGATTGTTATTCTGTTACTGTCCATAATCTATACAATTAAGCTTGATCATAGCCACGGGTGTTTAGAAGATGACCTAGTGCTTACAGGGTTGGGTACCGCCCTGGGTCTCAGGCATCCCTGGGAGTCTGAGAATGTATCTCTTACGGAGCAGGGGGTAGTGGCTGCATGGCGTTCATACCTAGCGCCATGGCGTCATAGGCTGCATCACGCACTAGGG